TGTCATACAACAACAGACTGTCATACAACATCAGACTGTCATACAACAACAGACTGTCATACAACAACAGTGTCATACAACAACAGACTGTCATACAACATCAGACTGTCATACAACATCAGACTGTCATACAACAACACAGACTCATGTTCATGTTTGTGCTGATGTTCAATGTTTTATGTTATGAGTGCTTAGTGTATATTTAGTTGATGTTTTTCTTAGTTCATATCTTAGATGTTATTACTGTTTTTCTTATACATTTTATTGTTGGATGTAACTGGGACCCTGTGTACATAATTTCGCTCCACCACATGTACCACATGAGGTGCGAATGACAATAAAGAAACTCTGACTCTGACTCTGTCTCTGACTCTCTGACAACAGACTGTCATACAACAACAGACTGTCATACAACATCAGACTGTCATACAACAACAGAGTGTCTTCAGTCAGAGGCTTCTTCAGATCTGCTGCAGGACAGACGCTACAAGAGATCCTTCCTGCCCACAGCCACCAGCATCTAGCACAACTCTTTAATGAAACCAGGATGATGAGTTACAACATTTAATTTACCTCTGGGATTAATAAAGTATTTTTGAATTGAATTGAATTCAGGTTGTGGTCTTTTCCTTCAGAGGCAGAGATCTGCTTCCTCTTCCTGTCAATCGCCTCCTGCCGGAGCTCACAGCTGACCGGGTCAGGAAACACGTGGTTCCTTCATGTCTGAACATGGTTCTGCTGGAGAACCCAATCAGTGTGTACTACAGAAAAAAGCTTGATGCTGTCCTCCAGCATCCATCCAGACATGAAGGAGAGGAACCAAAGTTTCACCTGCAGCCATCTGGGTCAGAACCAAATGAGTTTTATGTTGTTCTTTATATCAGATGTTCTCCAGCTGGTCACACAATCAGAGAACCTTTAGTTCTGACAAGAAAGGGGATGTTACACAATGTCTTGCCTGGGTTTGTCTGTTAGTAAAATATTAACCACTGGACCACAGGATGGAGGAGTCCAACATGAGAGACAGACGTGGACCTTGTGAGTCTTGTCCCTGATGGACGAGCTAACCAGGAGATACAAAAGACCCAGTGAAGTTCCATTTATGGAACAAATGGACAGAGAACCAACAGTCTGAAACCAAAGGAGAGACCCTCTAACAGGACTGAGGTGGACTCTTGGAGTCTAAAATCACCTGAACGCTACATTCAGGGGAACGTTCAACATTTTTCAGCTGTAAACCTCTGGACAGAGCAGCTGTGATTCTTGACCTGCCATTGTGTATCTATTCCTATCAAACCCAGCCGGTCGAAGCAGATGGTCCTCTTGTCCTGATCCTGGTTCTGCTAAAGGTTTCTTCCTCATGAGGGAGTTTTTCTTTCCACTGTCGCCTTCATGCTTGTTCAAGATGAGAGTTCAGTGATGGAGTTAAACTCAAAGCTGCTCCTCAGATAAATAAAGTTCAATTATTATTTTATACATGAATGTTTCTGATCAATTATTATTTTATACATGAATGTTTCTGTTCAATTATTATTTTA